GGTGCCGCCCTAGAATGGGGGGGCTGGTCCATTGCGGGGGGGGGGGGGGAAACCCAGGGATAAAAAAAAAAAAAAAAAAAAAAACATGAACGCTGTATGCCCTCATGCAAAAGAAAAGCGCAGGACCTTCTAAAAGTGTTTATACCCCAGGAGCTTTGGCTCATACTATGTCCAACCACAAGTGGCCAACTCTCTGTTATTCCTCTGTCAATTTGATACAATAGGGGCTTCCGCACTTCCTGTATCTGTGTCCTCTGTCACTTTTATCAGCAGTTAAAACTGTTTAATCCGTTGCTAACATCCATCCATCCATCCATTTTCTGAACACCCTTGTCCCTCAGTGGGGTCGGGAGGGGTGCTGGTGCCTATCTCCAGCTAACGTTCCGGGCGAGAGGCGGGGTACATCCTGGACAGGTCGCCAGTCTGTCGCAGCCGTTGCTAACATGTCGTACTATTTTTCTGAGCCGCCTTTAAACGCTCGCGCTGGGTTTACACCTGTGCAGCAGTGAAGGAGACCTGCTGCTGCTGTGCAGAGCTACTCAGGTGTGTTAGAATCACGGCAGCAAACCAGCAAAACGCAAAGAACTTTTCACAGTTTTTCCCCAAAATAACCGACTGAGTTGAGTAAAGCTGTTGGATACAGGTAGTGTTAGCTAAAAGATGACTAGCTACCTAATATCAATACAGCACCTTAAGCTTGTTAAGAAGTAGCTGGTAGATGACTGATGTTGTTATCTATGTTCAGCTACGATTCATTTTGCCCCCAAAAAGTTGATTCCCCTCCCCCCTTCTTTTTCGTCTGGAGCTGGGGCTGGGAGTCTTAGCACTGTCAATCACCCTCCATGACCCTCCTCCTGGCTCTGATTGGTTGCTTTTGGTTTTACGTGGTCCATTTCTTCAGGTCACCCAGGAGGTGGAGGACTTATCCGTCTCATGTTGTAATGTCACAACATGGTGACAGCTTTAAGCAATATGTAAAAAACATGTTTTTATGTCTTTGTGTCTTTTGATGTACATTTACTTGAAAATCTTCATAAAAGTGTTCTAAAAAATATTACAACTCAAAAAACATAAAAATTCAGGTATGATACAAATATGTCACTTTAGGTGTTCATCACTGGAGCATCTCCAGTGATCACTTTAACAAGTCGCCAGCAAACACAAAGACAAGCACACATGGTCAATCTTATTGAATATTAGTCAGACCACTGGATAGTAAGATCTGAGCACTAGAACTGTCAGCACTTAATTATACCAGTATTAATATTTTTGGAATGTGAGAGGAAGCTGGAAAACCCACACAAGCTGAAGGAGAACATGATAAAAAATCTGTGCAAAAAGACCCAAAACTGTGATTCTAATCCAAGGCTTAAAGGCACAACTGGATAATTCTGCCCATAAACATCTCCAGAAAAGCTCTAAAGTATGGGAAGACCTCCGCATCAGATCTCTGAACAGTTCAAGTGATTCCTTTTGAGGAGGAGCAGAAAGTCAAACTCTGAGTTCACCCAGAATGACACAGTTTCTTGGTTATCCTCCAAGACTGCCAGAGATTATTGCACACATTAATTTAAAATAAAAAAAAATGCATTATTTCACTTATGTAGTATACTCCTAAATTGTGCTGTGTTTTTTTTATAAAAAGAATGATTACTTTTGTAATAATAATCAAAGAATATGTATCTGAAATAACCTAACTAAATCTTATATATTATATATACTTTATGGATTTTAATCTTAACTCTTGCTCCATAGTCATATTCAATAAATTAGAATACATGTCTAAGTCTCATTTGTCAGAATAAATGTACCTTTTACAAATAACCTCTAAGCAGGTATTAAACGTATGTTTCAATAGGTCCACATTTCTGTTGTTGTTTTTTTAAAGTTTTCCTTTATTTATCATTTCTCTGATGAAAACTTCTAGTTTTAAATGTCATGTTTTCATTGGCTATAAGTGGAAAAATCGCCATAATAGAAATAAAGGTTTTCAGGCATCCATTTATGTGTAATTAATGTATGTAATGTGTTTCACTAAGTGATAAAATTCCTGAAATAATTGGCCTTTTCAATAATATTAAAATTTTTTGAATGGGTTTGCAGCTTTAGCCTGTGTACCGACATATGTTCACCAATAGATGGCAGACAAGGACATCTGATTGGGATTGAACAAACTTCAGCGTACTGAGATCTAATTAACATAAAAATAGTGCTAACGCAAAAATAGTCACCTCAGAAATACAAATGAACAAATGAATATAATGAACCTAAGTATTTAAAAACGTTTTTCTTTTCGTGTTAAATCGGTTTTGTTTCTGTTTCTGAAGTGGTGCCTATATGTGGCATTGCTAAACATATTTATGTTTAGTACAGAAAACAAGACCACCCAATTTCACCAAAAATCCTCTTTCCGCACTTAATTCCCCGGGCCTGATGTCAGCCTCGGTAAACGCAGAATGAGAAAATAAATCCCAGACACCAAAAGCTAATTTGGGATGGTGAATTAAGAGAATCCTCCCGATCAAAATGCCATCGGCAGACGATCGGAGCACAGCCTGTGCTCGCTGCTTCTAGAAATGAACATCCTCTGCTCTGCGGGGCTCCTTTATTAGTCATCTCTGGGTTGCAAAGCAGGGGGGGGGGAGAGCTTCAAGCTCACCACACACATCCACAAAGCGAATCCAGAGCGTGCGTGTGTGTGATTTGTTCCTGCAGCATCTGCGCGGTTTCAGATCATGTTGCCTGTCCTGGTCAGATATGCTGGTCCAGGTGGAGGAGGGCGGCGGCTCTGACTCTACCTGCTCTGATCATTACACCTAAAGATGCTTCTTTTTGTTTTATCACTTCTCTGCGTTTGTTTATGCATTTGTGAGCTGTTTACAATCTGATTCATGTCAGTAAACACAGAACTAGAAATATAAACAGCCTTGGCACAAACTGTTGCTCTTGGAGATCAATCATCCTTACTGCAAAGCTCTAAATACTATTTTTTGTTAAAGAATGGGCAATTAAATGCCGTTTCTGTGGTAAAGATGCATACATTTTTAATGTTATGATGTTACAAAGTTACACAGTCAAAAATTAGCATAGATAATTGAGTTATTTAGCCCAGAGAGAGAAAAATTGAAGTTAATTTTACAAAGTCATATTTCCGCCATGTTATTCATTAATTATAAATGTCACTGTTTCAAAATAAATTTAATACACAAACTTAAGTTTAGTTTGTGGTTTTAGCTTGCTAGATACATATCTTCATTTTCCTAAAATCATGACCTAAGTCTCTTTTTTTAACAAAACTAATATTGGGGGAAAGAAAATTACTTTGGGTATTTATTGTTGGAAAGTGATAATATTTAGCTTAAAGCTTAATTTGGAGCTAGTAAGCTAAATCATTAGTTTGAGCTAACAAGTTTGAAGCTAAATACTAAGTTGATATAGCTAAATACTTAGATAATTCAAACTGTAGAGACTCACACAGAGAGAGAAACAGAAATTAGACAATTTTATTGGACTGGTGCTCAGACACTGGCGGAAGACGTGCGTGCTGAGAATCGCAGCGAGCTTGAATGATCGGCTCGAACGAAGCTCAGGTAGGTCTTCCTCCGGGCCCGGTCACTGGTGGTGGAGCGGAGCTTGGAGAGAGGAGTCTTGAGGGGACCTGGAGGCATCCGGGAGGCTGATGGTGGAAACGGGGAGGAGGTGGGTTGAAGCACAACTGAAGTGGGTGGATCTGAGGTTGCTTCGCCTTTTGAAGGAGCTATAGCCAGTTGATTGGATCAAGGGGGAGCGGTGGTGCGTCCTGGTTGGCTGGGGTGAAGGCGTGGTGATAGGTGATGCCGGAAGAGTCTTACAGGTTGAATTTACGCCTAGGGCTTCATTATACAAACATATTTGCTAATAAGTGGACAAGTGAATTTAAATTTTTAGCTTCAAATATTTAGTTTGCTAGCTTTCAAACTAAATATTTGAAGCTAAATATTTAACCAGTAGAAAACAGCTGGGAAAGGTAGAAAGCTGGCAGGCAGTAGGACAAAGAACAAGGGGGAAACTAAAATGGTAATATATAAGGAAATAAGCAATAGAGAGATGTTCAAAATAAACATGAATGAAAATATCAGTCTAAACATCAAAACTTCATAAGTGACTGAAAATTTGCAATTTTCTCCAGTTATTCATATTCCTAACAATTCACATTTCATTCACTCTTGTTTTATTTACATTTTTAAATTTTCTTTTCATCTGCTCTTGGACATGTTGAGGCCTGCTTTAGCCTGTCCAACAAACTTTCTTTTTGTTTGTTGTCAGATTGTAGAAAGTTTGTCAGACAAACACAAAGTAAGACATATTTGTGGAGGCTAAGAAAAATGTAAAGAAAAATCAGAACGACATTTAGCTCATTTCAACTAGAGGAGCGAATCAGAGGTAAGTGGATGCAGCTCAGAGAGAGAATGCAGGAGGAGAGATGAAACATCGACACACAGGGATGTAAAAAATGAACCACAAATGATAACTGGAGACTTTATCGAGAGAAACAAGTAGTTGTTAGGTTTATGGGGAAATTATTTTTCTCCATTTAATCATCAAAATAAATTTTTAGGGATCATATATTTTATTTTTAACAATGTACATTAGGTTCTTTATGCAGAAAAATACCAAATGAGTCCACCTACATGTTTCCTTGTGCTGATTATCTGGTATGTGATCCATGGCAGTTTCATGTTCATATGAGTCGATTGAGGAAAACAAAGCAGTCAGGCTCTTCATCACAGAGAGGTTATAAATAACCTCATGATGTCGTGGGTTGCAAGAAAAGAATAACAGCATGTTTTGGATGAAAGAATTTCACACAACGCCAACATGCTCATCAGACCCACAGTCATGATTTCCAACTGCTTTTTCCAGCCTTTTCTTAACTTTATTTTTAAGCCCGGGTGAAAATAATAAGGGTACCGTGGCCAGACAGCAACAGAAGTCAGTGCTCATGCATCCCACGAGAAAGAACCCTCATTATTCCTGTCTATGAGGCTTTAAAAAAAAAAAAAAAAAAAACAGGAACCAGACAAAAGACGCCACAGCCATGCTTTTTTTTAATATCACATTGTTAGCTGTAACCTAAACTCCTATCCAGCCTCGGTCCCACCTTATCTTTTCCTGCATTTTCCCTCTTCTGATTCCCTGCTGAGATGTTAATAAGCAGCTTCAGCAACATGTTTATCATTGCGACATTAATGGAATAACACTAATTATAGATCAGTGTTGGAGCAGACACCAGGGAGCAGGGTGAGGATGGTGATTGGACGGCCATAAATCTCTGATCACTAATTAACAGGAGTCGACGCTGTACACCGGGATGTTACATCTGATCAGAGCTCGTGTAAGGCAGCGGACACTTGCTCTTAATTGTGATGAATCATAAAAAGTTGTGAGTGTCCGAGTTCCATTCATCGGAGTCATTCCCTTACTCAAATTAATTCCCGACTGTTAATGCGGGAAAGTTTAACAATCTTATTTTACACTTCTTTGACTTTAATTCCAATGCAAGCAAATTTTAGGATGAATTAGGATGTGTTCACACCTGCCGCTTTTAGTCCACTTGAAATGGACCACAGTTAGTTTCCTCTGTTGGTCCAGACTTTTTCCTTTTCCTTTATCTTTTTCTTTTCCGAACTCTGGAGTGGACCAAACTACCAGACCAAGATCTACTTTTTGAGGTGGTCTTTCCAAAACTAACTCTGGTGTGGTTTGCTTCATGGTGTGACTATAGACCAGCCTTGATGTGAACAAACTACAGGAAATGTACAACTTCATGAGCTTTGTGAGCCACTGCTCCTGGGCGTTACGGTAAAAATGACCTTTTGGTGGTTGATGAATGGAAACACATCCAATTTTGAAAGAAGTCATGTTTTTCAATAGCTGTTTCATTCAGATCCGAATGAGGTGGATTTCTATGTTAAGTAGGTATTTAGAAGCATGACTAAATGTCGACATTTAGTCGTGCTTCGGATTCTTTCTTCATTCAGTGAATGAAGACTGAATAGCTTCGTTCACTTCCGTTGCTGCCATTGCCAAACTACAACCATAGGCAGACTACAATTTAAAAACAAATCAATCAACATCATTGTTCACAGCTTCTTCCATCCGCTGACTGAACCGGGTGAAATTCTACCAAAGAAATCCTTCTCAATGGATTTTCTTTTACAGGATTTCTTCCTTAATTAATTCATTGATCAACGTTAATGCTTGAAAAGTCCAACTTTGATGTCATTCTAATAAAAACAGAGGCTTATTATAAAAAGTCAGCCTTGTTTTAGTGATAAATTACTATTTATAAAAGGTAGAGCTCATCAAGCCGTGCAACTTTATTCATAAACCGTTTAATATTACCTCCCTATTCCCTCAAAGTAAACATATTTTGCACAAGCCTTCATCTTCAGCCAAACTTTAGCTTTGACAACAAAGCGATGCTTGTTCTAATTACTGTGCAGCCAATTAGATGCTGTTAAGAGACTAAAAAGCTTTCTAATGATGCAGGAAGCAGCGCATTATCTCCCTCGTAGCACCATACAGTCAGCGGCTGCTTCCTGATGACTGCAGGTGGTATTTAATATGACACATATTCAATGTGACAGGTGGATCCCCTGAGAGTTTGAAGACGAGAGAAGTCTCATTTGGAGAAGCAGCTGACCATGGAGTCACACATCCAGTTCCTCCCACTGTGAAAGAAGAAACGTGCTTCGGATCCTTTCTTCACACTCTATAGGAGCGCTTCATCCATGCAGCGCATTTGAAGTGGGTTTTGATGTCAGCTTCATCTATAATGGATCAGATGGCATTTTCCCCCCTGACGACAGCACCAGACTCTTACTCCTCTTCAGAGACAGTCACGTATGGAACAGGCCCAGAGGAAGTCGTGATCAATGCACAGGGTTGGACAGAAAAAAAAAAAAAGGTACATGCAACATATGGAATCAGACGACGAGTCAAAATAGTTTATTAGAGAACAGAATTCATAGTCGAGGCACAACCTCACATTTAGTATAGGCACTGAACTACTGCACTGGAGTCACAGCCTCAACTCGGTTTGAAAACCAAAGCCTGCCAGCCACTTTGACGAGCTGGCAACAGCTACATGTACAGCCGGTCTGAGCTGCCAAAGCAATCGAGACACACAGATCGTTCAGAGAGAATGAGGTCATCGCTCACATCTCACCACGTGTCAGTAAAAGGCTAATTACATGAAAACAATGTGGTGTTTCATCTAACTATATCCAGCAAACCAGAACCTTGATTTAATATGGTGAATCATGTTTGCTGATGGGAACTGTGTGAAATTACATTTTAAAGCTGGAGTAACTTTTATTAAAAAAATAAAAATTAAAATAAAAAAAAAGTGTTTTACAAATGTCACTATGCCGTAACAGTAAAGTATGAGATAGATCATAAGTGGAAAAACTGAACACCTCTGCCTTCTCACAGTGCTAACTATAGAAGTAAACAACTTTGTCAGAAACAACCAATCAGAGCCAGAAGGAGGGTCTTATGTCAGTCAGCCTCCCCCTTAGCTATCTGCTACACTAAAGCTTCTCCCCGCTAGCATGGCCACCAAAGAAGGGGGACAAAAACAATTTTCTTGGAATGGTAATTTGTTTCTTCAACATTAGCACATTTAACAGCATGTACTTGAGGTTGACTGACAACGCTAAGACCCTCCTCCTGGCTCTGATAGGCTGTTTTTGACTGTGAGTGGTGCATTTCTTCAGATGGAGAACTAGCACCAGGAGGAGGTGGAGGAGCTTGATTTTTTCTTTTTGACAGATTATCTGTTTCATATTGTACTATCAGGACATGGTGACAGTTTTAACAAATATGGTTTAAAAATGTGTTAATAAAAGTTACATACCATAGCTTTAACACAAACATTATTAGCTCATTCAAATCAAGCTAATGTTAACTTAATTTCTATAACAGGACAATCGAGTAATTGTCCTGCTTCAATTACCCAATATAATACACAATACATGTTGGGGGAAGTATCGATACCACTTCTTAGTCAGCAAGAACAATTTTTAAAAGTCTGCTTGAGAATTTAAAGCACTGATGTTAACATTGCTCTAAGCTAGTAGCAGCTAGTAGCTAGTAGGGTTTTATGGTTAAAAATGTATTTCAATCACAGATGAGAAATATCTTATATTGCCGTTGGCCAGATTTAAGCTGAGTTATAATGACAATTTCAATTTCCTGAACCACCTTTTAGACATTTGTTTTGGCACAAATTGTTTTGAATATCTCCAGCCGATGCTACAGTCCAACTTGCTGCTTTGTGGTTTACTTTAAATTTAATACTATTTAAAATACAATGGACAAGTAGAATTTCTGACAAGCACTTGACTTGATTGAAGTTAGCTACTTGAGCCAGACATCAGATTGTTATACTTGTATTTTTGTATAAAAAGAAAAATGTGTAATATTCTGAGCATTCATAAGTTAAAAACTATTCTAGTTAGTGTTTAGTCAATGTATCAGCTTAAGTCTGAAGCAAAATTAAATAAATTGTTTTGTAACTTATTCAAATTGTAAAAAATCAGCAGTAGGAATAATTATTGCTTAGTTGGAGATCATGTTTTACATGTTGGTTTAAATTAATTTAGATTAAATACAGTAGGATTGTATTTAATAAACAAACCACCCCCTTCATTGGTTACATGTTTACTCTGCTGATTGGATCTCTCTAAATGCCAAGTGTTTGAGGGCAAAGAGAACGCGATGCCTTCCTACTAGACGATTTCTACGGGTTCTGAATATCCGCGTTCAAAGTCCCTCTGGCAGCAGGCGGCTGAGGGGCCATGCTGGGTTTACAGGATGGCGCAGAAGAACTTCTCCCTGAATTCTGTACCAGAATTTTATTGAAGGTTATTATAACATGAGAATTCCACACAGCCATGTATCATAAATCAATCATGTCTTCAGACAATAATGTTTGTATCCGTGTAGAAATACCATGTAGTGGTGGAGTTAATTTATTATCAAATTTCAGCTATGACTGGTTGCATAACCTTCCTGATTAGACAATGAGCTATTAAAAATTGTTTGTTTTGGGTTAGAAAATAACAGCTTAATATGTTCCAATATTGTTTTTTTATTTATTTTTTTTAAATCTTTTTATGCAAGTTAAAAATCTGTTTTTCTTGCTGAGTGAAAACTCACAAATCGTTTTGCAAAAGACACATGATTTGTTGCCGACTTTCAGAAAACTTGACTTTGCAAAATTATACTTTTTCTGGAGATAATCACAGTCAATGAAGTCTCTGAAATAGGATTTTTTTTTTTTTTGTAAAGAAGAAAGTGTATATCATGCTAACGCTGGACACACGATGCCGAGCAGCTTCTGCTTCACATTTAATTTTTCTGTTTGTCAGGGTTGTTTACAAGGAAGTTTAATGCTGTTTCTGTATTTGCAGAGGTTTTTTTTTGTTTTGCATCTGTCCTTTTTTGTCATATTACATAAGATTTCTGCTTGATTAGCCTTTGTATTGCCTGTTTGCATGTGCTTGCTCTGAACTGCAGCGTTCATCTCTCAGTGCTGCCGAACACAGAGAAAAAAAAATCTCTTGTTTATCTTCCCTCTTAGGCGGTATTGTTTCTGGGCTTAGATGTAAATCCTTATTATTGATTGTTAAATGTAATCATATAAGATGTAATATGGCAGATAAATCCTGCTTCAACGCAGTCTTAATCCTCATCACTCTTAGACCTTCCTGATTTTATCAGGTTGTCGGACACTGAGTCTCGGAGGATGTGGTGACACGAGGAAAGCTTTCCCTCTTTTAATTAATTTCTATCACACATACAATTTTTTCTAATTATTCTTTAGTATCAATGTCATTTTTTTCACAGCAACTTGTATTGTCAATATTATTTCATTTTGCTAGTCATTTGTCTGTAATTCTGTTTTCTGATCAGATTTTTGCAATTTGCGGTGAACAGCTGAAACTGTTGAGATTTTTAAATCTTTGCTCAAGACCCATTTTTATTCTTTGGTGTTTGATTAAAACAGAGTTTGAATTTCACTTATGATGACATAATGAAGTATATTTGTTTTTTGTTTTAACCTTACTTTTAACTATAGATAATTTTTGTTCTTATTGTTATCTTGCTTCATTTAATGGTCAACATCTGTTGTTTTGATGTGCTACATAAATAAATTGACATTCTATTTTTGAGAAACAGGAACGAACGTGGTTTTCCAGACATCCTAATGTTGCAGGGTCTCCCTCAAGTTGGGGCAATTCAACATTCTGGTTAACGTGTCTTCATTAACACAAACAGAGGGTTTGAACAGCGTAGCATGAGGTTAAGCAGTAAAATTATTGGGTCATTCCTGCGACAGATGGTTACTACTGAGCACTACTTGTGCAAATTTTGCAGCAGGGACGCCAAAGCGTGGTAAATATGGCAACTCTGTGAATCTCATGCCACAAATTTTGTCAACATGTCAAAAAGCAAGTAGTAATAAAGCAGTCTGTCCGTTACTATCACAGCTCTGTACTAAGGTTCTTATGTTTAACACTATATAAACCAAAATAGACTTAGAATGATGGATAAATTAAAAAACGTCCTTTGAGACCAGTTTAGTTTCGCAGTTTAGAAAAACAAGTCTTCATTTTTTTTAAATACTTTTTCCCCCTTTAGTTTGATATTAACAAATAACCTTCAGAATCTACTAAGTAATAAATACGGCCAAATACGGCAACATCTGGTGTTGCATTTTTATTGCATTTACTGTCTGCTAGTAATTACCATTGGCTTTCTGTCCTTTTTATTGTTGGTGAATAAATGTGCATTTATAATTTCACATGTGAGTTGTGTTGTTCAGCCCAAATGAACTTTCCTTTGTTTGCCTCATCAGTCCTGTTCATTTGATGTGAAATTTGCCAACAAGCAGAAAGATTACCTTGATTATCATCTGTGATTTTTAAAACCTGCTTGCACTAATTAGACTACATTTAATCCCAGTTCCCCATCTTTGGGTAGCACAAACACAAAAATTACACTAATACATCATTTTCTTGTGGATATGTTATTTTGGTGTCAATATTTGATTTAACAATACATTAAAATCTATGTTTCTAGAAGTTGGAAATTTGTCCTTTTCTCTTATGAGGTAAGCATTTCATACTCAATTTGATCTGAAAACACACAGATCATTTTAGAAAGTGACTGTTTCAAAAAGTGTAGCCGTGGTTAGCACAGCAACATGAGAGTGGTATCAATCTTCATTTAGCTCAAATACTAATCGGTCTCTTACCAGCACCCCCTTAAACACTGGATGAATGTGTTGCAGTTAGGTTGAAATCTGCATGGTCTTCAGTAACGCATTAATAATTTTAGAGTTGTAGTTTTTGGAGAGCTTCGGAAGTACGTGGGTCCTGTTTGCAGCACTGGTGTGACTCGTTTGTGTAGGATATTTGAAGCAAGACTTGCCACACTGGTCACATGCCTGGACAACAACATCAGCTCCTCCACAACCAGGTGTACAGGTGTTGGTAGGTGTTACCAATGCTTTGAGGGAATGGCTGCTAACTGGGTCATACTCTCCGTCTCGTTACAGCTAATAGGATTAACTCAACAACCAAACCACGGTCTCTCCACTCCATTAAGTATAGCACCACACTCTACTGTCCATCCTTTGCTACTTGGATGCCAACAATAATTTCTCTCATTATGGACAGGCCTGATTGACATGGAAGGAAAATGGGAGTATGTGGTGGATTCTGCAGAGATGAAACCTTAAATGTTAGCTAACAATATATAAAACCCTGTAACTGCTAACTTGATTAAATATTGAAGCCTCTTCAAGTATAAAAATGTCAGTGCTAAGCTGAAACTACTGGTGGAGGACCAGGTGTCTCCCATGTATAGTGAAACAGGATGATGGAAACAACCTTTATTAAACGCGACACCTTTGCTAGCTTTTGGCTAACTTGTTTTCATTTAGAGGAACAGGATTACACCAAGAAGTGGAGCTAACTGAGATATTTGGGAGCATCACCATCACACCATGCTAACATTGAGTGCAGGACATGTTTACCAAGAATATTATAAATCCCTTCACAATTACAAAAGTTTTCCAAATTTTCCACAATCCAGCTTCTAACAAGCCATGAGGAAGCATCCAATGTATTAAAATGTGCAGAATCAACTTGTTTTAATTAGAACTGAAAAGGTCTATTAGTTTAGGTGATTTCCGTACTGCCACATGTACATGCCAATGTCGTATAAATGAAAGTTAAAGACAGAAAACGACTAAGGTCTAATTGAGATTCACAGATCTGATCAAAGCATGAGTGTCAGTTTTGTTAT